TATTCATAAACGAATTTTTAATTATCATGAATATGTTAAAATATGAGAGATGTACTGAGAAATATACTACTAAAAAAATTGACATTTTACCTTGTTTATGTTGTTCAGCAATGTTGTTGTTAACGTAAAATTCAGCGCCAAGTAATGATAAGTTATCTTCGTGTAAATTTGTATGATTATCATCAAACAATTCGTATCGAAGAAAATCACAACAAATTGCTTTTATTTCCTCTGTAATCTCATCGACTTAATGAACACATTGTCGAACGAAAAAATAAAAACTACCATCTTTCTGTTGATGTGTAATTAAAACATCGATAAATTGTTCATTCTTGTTATATTCATCTTTTTCTGTTACTGAACAACTTACTTTGAAAATTTTCATTGTACGATACAACCGTAACAGTAGTGAATTTAATGGATTTGATTCATGTTTATCTTCAGTGAGAAATTTCTGACGGACCAATATCAAATAATCTTGAAAATCTTTTCATATTGTATCATCACAACCACCAATAATGAAAACATAACTAAATTAACAACAAAACAATTTTTTATGGTCTTTTCGAACAACTTTTAGCTAAACTAAGAGGAACAGTTCCTATTGACTATCAAGTTTTACTAGTAAAATCATGATATACTTCTAGTTTGGAATATTTTGTTAATTCAATGGCCAATAAACTTTATATCGTTCTTTTCCTCTTTATTTCAGGAAATAATCAGACGGGAAAAAATATTCTGTTTTGTATTTACTAATAAGAACTGACTTACCGAATATTTAAATTTTCTTTTTCCATTTTTTTAATACTATTGACAATATCATGAAAGAAATCTGTTGCGTCGAGTTCATCTCCTGCATCATATAATTCCTGATCAGATCGATGTTCGATCCACACAGTACGATTGGAAAATAAAATAATGACTGCCACACATGGTGACAGTCCTTTGGTGCCTAACTCACCAGTCGAATAGTAAGATGATAGAAAACATTCGATAAATTTACTTTTATACCAGTTTGAAATGTAAAGATAGGAAAAAACAGAGAAAAGAAACATGTGTATGTGAGCATATATATTATAATGAGAAGAAAGCATCCTAACATATTTGTTTATGTATTTCGTTAATTTTCGTTCGTTCTTATGCATAGAAGACATGTGAGTGACCAGCATAAAGATAATCATGACTAAACAATAAAAATTATTCTATATTCTGTTGCCGTCTGTCACCAATAGTAAATTCGCAAGAAGAAGAAGAAAATGTAAATAGTTTGTTATAAGGATTTTTCATTTTCTTTCTTTATCCAGGTCAAAAAAGAAAGACGCCAAGACATACAAGATTGTCTCCATACAAGTTTTTTTGTCTGATCATATTCACAGATCATATAGTATTTTATTGTCAGGTTTTTTATAAGATTTCGTACGATTGCAGTCTCTACTTAGGAACATATGATGAAGAAACATGAATAGAAATGATTTCATAAAACAAAATCATTTGTAATCCAATTAAGAATGATAATTTATATATGATAAAAATTTATTTTAAATATATAAGATCGTCAAATACATAACATAAATAGCAAAAACTTATTGAAATTTCCAAACAATTTTTGTCGAATCAAACTTTCTTACATTTATTTCCTTCACTTCGTCGATTGTATATAACAGGGAAAGCTGCTAATCAGATTATAATATCACTATTGTTCGTTCCATTGTCAACAACACTTCGCGATGTTCATTTCACATTTGATGCACCTTTCAATAGTTCATCGTATTATGAAGTAATGAATAGTTTCACTAATCATCAGTTATCATTTTATCGCATGGTATTTGATGTTGAAAATGGTAGGTTTTTGAATCAATTTTGTAACAACAATTTGCATCTTTTTAACTTAAGAGGAAGCTTCGTTCTTCCTAAGATCGATAACACTATACGAAATAGTCGAAGTAACAGGAATAATTGTTTTTAGACGACATTAAAGAATATTCTGATGCAAAAGAATATGAATGGAAACAAATACATTTGACAAATACTGTTTATTTATCACTCTACATCAAGCGATTAGATGATCTATTCAATCTTCTTGCTATTCAATCATTACCAGTTCTCGATCATCTGGATGTTAGTTTTATCAAACGTGGTCTCATAAATGATGTAAAAATGATGAATGTTAACAATATAACGAGTCGTTTACGTTCTCTCAAACTTAGTTACATGTCAATTAACGATCGTCTCACCTTTCTTTCATTCGTTCATTTGCCTCTACTCGAACAACTGATATTGATTGATATTCATGATAATAGTAAGTTTAATAAACAAATACTTAGATTTAATTTCTAACTGAAGATTCTGACTGTTTTTTTGAAAAATTTAGCACTTAATCGTCTGAACGATTTTCAAAAATATTTTCAATCAAAGAAAAATCTTCCAACTCTTCGTTTATCGTCTTTTCGATTTCTACTTCGTTTTCCTGGTGAACTCGAAGATGAATGGAATAAATATTATTATTCTCAATGGTCGCTTAATGGTGTCAATATTGATCACTGTCTTGAAGAACAATGTTTATGTACTATGAAATACGATTATTCGCAGACACTATCAATACCCAAGAAATATTCTCTTCTTATTTTCACTCGTTCATCTCTACCTTTTCATCGAAAGATACATAATTACTCTACTGCAATGAAACTCAAACAAACGCCATCAACATCATCAATTGAATGGACTTGCGATTATTTTGATAATTCAGAACAAGTTTTTGAAGTATTGTCAAAATTTGGGACAATAAAGAAACTCACATTTGGAACATGGGCTGGAACAAAATTGCAAAATGTGTGTGAAAAGTTCTTCGTTGAGCAAAATTCATATTGATCCTTAAATATTTTTTATTTTTAGGATACTACTAAATTTGTTGTCTTTTCGTCATCATCCAATAGACTTCAATTGGATCAACTTCGTTCACTCGTATTTTTCACAAGTGAAAAACCGACTACTTTTTTTGTCAAATCGCAGAAACAATTATGCCTTCGTAAAATTCTTTCAGCAACAACGCAACTTGTTAAATTAACTACCAATTGGAATTTTATAATGAATATGGATTCAAATTGTGCTAGAGAATATTCTTCTATCTCACCTCTTCTCAATTCACGTCATTTGCATTTACGACATTTCAGAAGAGATGGTAATTTATAGTTCTCAACAGTTCAAGAAACTTACTTTTTTATTTACTAAAAGAATAAAAGAATATCGCATATGATGATATAAGCCGAATAAAACAATCAATTTCATTTTCTCTTTTTCATTTTATTTAGAACCAATAAATTTATTACAATTGATTGACAATTCTCTATTGTCAAACTTATTTCCACAACTTACTATATTCTGGTCAAGTGGAAAGAATATACCTCTTGACGACAACTTCGCCAAATTAGTTATATTAATTGGTACTCATTTTGAAAAACTCACTGAAATTATTATTAACAAAGACTCTCGTTATCGAGATTTAGGCATTCATGGTCATGATTTATTACGTACCCAACAACGTGATATCGAAAACTTATTAAGAAATGCCCATAAATTCCATGATCGAAATCGTATGAGTATTCATTGGACTAATTATCCTGAATTACGTATTTGGTTATAAATGATATTTTTCTTGATTAATAAAATGAAATACTAGATTTTATTGTGAACATTCTCTTTCCTTGAGCAAACTGTATTAGTAGCAAATATTTCAAAGAAAATCTTACGTATACTTATCTGGAATATCAAAAAAATTGTCGACTGCTAACAATCGATATACACGAATATGCGTTGTTGCTCTTGATATAACTAGGGTGTGGGTGTTTCCTTTATATGACTACTTGAACACCCACACCGACCCTCAAGTCTTAATAATTGATAGTTAGATTTCAATGAAATAGAATCATTCGATATATTTCCATTATGTTAAAGATCTGAACATAATTAACAAATATTTATATTTGTTAAAATGCTCAATATAATAAATATATATCAAAGTCAAAGATTTTTGAATTAATCAGAATTTTCTGTTGTCTGAGTTGATACCGAAACATTACTATTACCAGTAGATATTGATGCCAATAAGGGTGGTTCTTTATTACGGTCATTCATTTTTACTCGTGCTATTGCATTCATAATCCATCGTAATGATTCAGTTACCTTATTATATATAACAAGATCTTTATGAATAATAGCAAAAATAATAACTAGTATAATTACCTCTTGTGCATGGCCTTGCATTTGTTGATCCATCTAAATAAATAAAATGTTTTAATCAATAAAACTAACTAATATTTCAACAAAAGTCTTTTGATTATTATTAGCAATAATTATTATAATTAAAAACATTTGTAAATTCGTTTTTTTCTCTTTAAGTTTCAAAATATGACTTAAAAAGTAATAAAAAAACTCTTAATATATTTAATTTCTGTAATGCACTATCGTGATGAACATTCTCACAAGTTTGTTTGCTTACTTCATTTATCTTTTGTTGTTGATCAGAAATTGCTTTCATTATCTTAGATCTATAGAAATTTTTTTTATAAAAACCATTACAAAATGCTGATCATACTCATTCATGCTAGTTGTGCTATGTGAATGATCATCGTCAGATAGCAAATGATCATTCTTCGTAGCCTTTTCTATTTTTGATCGAGCACAATTATGTGTTGCAGCATTTTCAAATGCATCCCAACGTTCGTTTGTTGTATCAGATGCTGCGATCATTTCTAAATTATTTTCTTATATTTATTGAATGAGACTAATCGAGTTATCAATCTTACTAAAATTACGTAATAATGTTATTGATTCTGATGTATGATCATTAACTTCAGTTTCTGTACAAAATGATTTTGAATAATTATAACGAACAAGTAGTATAATATGTGAAAATATGATTAATGGTGGATAGGCGCATGGCGGTTGTTCAAAATATTCACGAATAAACGAATAACGTTGATAACGCCAATAAAATTCTGTATTTTCTTTTACTTTATCAATTGTATCACTAAATTTTCTAATTGGTTGTCTTCTATAATAAAAATGAATACTTACGTAAAAACAGCAATTAATAAATTCAATATAAGAATATTAATAAATAACATATGAAATGCTAATAAAACATGTGTAGCAGTTGCTTCAGCAACAAGTGATTGTGTACCATTACTGATTATCTCTAAATAAATATAAATAAAATATTATATAGTTTCAAACTAGAAGAGAATCTTTACCATCAAGTAAATGTTTATCCGATACGTCTCCATATATAAACCAGTATGGTTCATAAAAGATTGATCTAAATATATCACTACCAGTAAATGGAATTTGTCGGTAAAGAATTAATGCACGAGATACAACACCATATGCAGCTATTGCAATCAAAATTATATAGAAAAAAGCAGCTAGATCACGAAGCTAGAAATTCATTTATTCATATATCGCATATTTTATTTAATATTAATATACAAACCATATTTTTAAGCATAAATAATTTGGGTCCTACCGATCTTATAGCTACAACGAATTTCAATGAACCAAGATACCATAATTCAAGATCAAATGCCCATATAATTCTACAATGATACTATTTATCGTGTATATTACTCATATGAATAAACAAACCTTCCAGTAGTAAAGATTTTATCGTTGTAGCCACTATATCGAAATATTAGACCAAGATAAAATAAAAAATATGGTGCAATATAAAATATATTTGTTAAAACTGTTAATATAGTCGATCCGGTTGAACCCCATCGTTCAACCATTCGATAGTTATACTCATGAAAAAGCTTTATTAAAGAATAAAATAAATTTTTTTATCAATTAAAACTTTACCTTTCGAATCTCTTCACAAAACATAGTTGATACTGTAATAATAACATAGATTTCAGTCCAATGTGGAATTTCTAATGTATCTGGATCATTTAGCTCATAAAGCATCATATAACTAAATACAAGTAAAAACCAAATATAACTTATCTAAATAAATAAAAAATACATCAAAGAATTAATATATTTGATTTACTAAAAGTTTATTTACAAAATGATAACACATTCTAATGAATGGGCTTCCATGGAAATACTGAAAACGGGTCCAATATTTTTCAGTTTTTTTTTCATCGGTATAATAATTGATACCTTTTGTTGATAATCTAAGTAATAAATGAAATTAAATTGACAAAAAACTTATTAATATTTATTTACGATATATCTTGCATACTCTAAAAATAAAATAAAATAAAATTATTAATATAAAAAAGATCTTCGTGTACGCACATTTTCATTTTCCCGATACGGAATTATCCATGGAGCTAACAGTCCAAGAGTTATTATGGATAAAAAATGTGACGGTCTTGTTAATGTTTGATTATTTGTCATAGATAATTTATTGTACCATACTTGAGTGAGTGTTTGATCAAAACAAGCTGTTCCAACTAGCTGGATATTTTCGCTTGAAATAGCAATCTAAAGTTATGTGTGAATATCGATATTGAAAATGTTTTAATAGATAACCTGCATGCATGTAATGTTACCAAAGAGTGGTATTTGTCGTAGAAGTAATTCACATGCTGATCGTTCATTATATTTGTAGCAATCATTGATAAAATCGGCTGCATATTTTCCAAAGTCATCAGCTTGAATTTTAAATTTTTCTTTTAGATCAACAGTTAACGACAATTTCGAATATCGTTTAAATATAGCTGAAGCTATTAAAGCAGCACATATACGAGATTGTTGATGAATGAGAAGTATTTTTGCGATTTCAGGCATATCCATAAATACAGACCATAAAAATAAATCACGTAATAATTTATTTTTTTCAAGTAGTTCTTCCGTATTCTTTTCTTGATCCTGAGATTGAGTATCTTTAATACCTTGTGGCGAAACTTGATTATTATTTGAAGCACAATACTTTATTGCACTACTGCAGCAGCTACATAAATGATTTTCCAGATCAATACAAATACGTTTTGTACATTCATTATCTTCTTTTGCATAAATTGCTTCAAAAAATGAACCAATAAATTTATTTAACTTTTTATCAAGTGTTCTTATTGCTGTCACAGTTGATTGATCAAATAATTCTTTTATATAGCTACGATTGCTCTTTTTTAAAAAGAAAAATGTTTATCGTAAGCATTATAGTTTAGTCTTATGATCATACCGTGGTTATTTCGTCGTAAGTATCTTGATATAATTTTTCGAGCTCTTCATGACGTTGTTGTTCAACACTTTGAGTACCAATGAGTTTCAATGGATCAAAACTAGCAGCAAGAAAATGTTCAGCATGTGGAGTACGAAGGAGTTCAAGTTGATCAAAACCAGCAGCAAGAAACTGTTCAACACGTGGAGCACGAAGAAGTTTAAGTGGATCAAAACCAGCAGCAAGAAAATATCCAACAAAAGCTGGATGATTTTTTATCAATGACTCTCGAAATAACTTTTTGTAACATGTCATATATTTCTGTTGTAAAAAAGAAACGGTAAATTTCATACTATTAATAAATCTCGCATTACCTCTTTAATCTCGTCATTATTGCTCGTAATGTGTTGTCGTTTTTTTAATATTGGTAAAGCACCATCAAAATAGTTCCATTGTGATGCCAGATCTAATAAAATATCTTCATCCTTTGCATACTGTGGATCTTGATTTTGTTCACTACTATTATCGATTTCATTTTGTTTCTTTTTCACTTTAAAAGAAACATAAAGTAACTTAGATGTTATTTGATCTCAATACATACTTTTAAAAATAGCTTTAAATATTGTTTCTGCTACACTTTTATCACGATCCATACGGAAAACATTTAGTAAATGACGATTCTTTTTATCTAATATCTCTTGTATTCTTGTTGTTATTCCGGTGATATCATCTTCATCGAGACTAGGAAAGAAATCAATCAGAGCTTTTCTCATAACTTCATCTGATGGAATACTAAAAGTAAAAATATTAATAAATTCATGAACTATTTAATCAGCTCACAATTGTTGATCAGTCTTTGCATCAGTTGTTTGATTAATTAACGAAGCAAATACATCTGCTAAACGGCCACTATCCTACATATAAAACAGTGTAATTCTCATTTTTCAATAATATATACACACTTCAATAAATACAATTGGTCGATTTTGTTTTATATCATTTTGAAGAACTTCAATCGTATTCTTACCACCTTCAACAATAATTGTTACACCACAACCTTTCAATATTATTCATTCAAAACAATTATAATATTTCAATATAATACATACATTCATGATCTTCATCTTCACATGCTTCTTTAACTAAAGCATCTCGTTGTCCATCATTTAGATAATCACCTATTTTACCATCGTCAAATAGAATGCAATGTGTATGATTCCTTTCGATGGTTTCGTCGGTATCGTCACCATCATCATAAATTCGTCGAAAAAATAGATTTAGCTCATAGTCCTTCTATTAAATAAAAGTAGTTATGTATTAAACAAACAATGTCATTTTTTGTTGATACTTTATTTGCATTTTTCAAATCAAAACGTGTCCTTCCATTGATTGTTCCCCATTTTGTTAGTCCAATACAAACAATTTTGTTTGGATTAGCTTTCAATAAACGATAATGAGATATTCCTTCACCAACTAGTTTCGATACACCATTATTAATACCAGTAGTTAGAATCCAAGCATCTTAAAATAACAAAAAAGTTGTATATTTACAGATATATATATATAGTTTACTAGACATTGCTGCAGCATCAATGATACCACGTATAATTTCTTTTTCCAGTTTGTCAGTCATAGTGAAATATTTAGCACCACCATAAATACTTAAAATGACAGCTGGCTTTTTACCTCCGCAATCATTAACAAGTAATTTATAGATAGGCTTCACACGTGTTTGATGATCAATTCGAATATATTTACAACCAGTAGATTCAGTGGTTTTTGATGTTCCGTATACAGTCACAGGAACAGTAGTAGAATGGATGTGCTTAAACTCCTGTTGAGAATTTGTTGTTTCAGGACTGTTGCTGCTTGTATATAGCGGTTTGGAGCTACCAGCTAAACTATGGCATCGGATCAAGCGACCACAACGACATTTCTTATTCTCATCACCTGGAACAATCTGTACTTCCTGATTATACATTCTACAAGTACGACAGACGATTTTGTTATCTGCGATGGCATCGCCAATGAATTTTTTCCATGACTCTTCAGATCCCATCTAAAACACTATAGATATGTTTTTTTCTTTTTAGTAAAAACGAGATCGAGTGAATGTTACGTAGTAGTATGAAGTTTGACAGAAGAGAAACTTGTTTCTCTTGCAGAAGAAATGAAAGATTAAATGGAATAAGATATTTCTATTAAAATATCTTGAGGGTGTGGGTGTCAAACTCTCTCCCATTTTACTCTACCCACATCCACACCCACCCTCAAGATTGTCTCGACTACTATGCAACTTTTTGCATACTTTCATCTGTGTTTTATCGGTTGCAGAGAAATTGATTATAGCTGATAGAGTTAGTGCGGTAAAGCCCTATTGCATTTTCTATTAAGCTAGTTCTTGGGTTTGCTAAATAAATACTATGTCGGAGAGATTTTAAAGAATAAGTCTTTGGTTCATAGCAGATATAATCAAGATTTAATGAGTGAGAGAAAGGTGAAAGATTACTTTGCGTACAGTATAGTGGCTAAGAGCGTCTACATGCTATTTGATTATCTAACTTTTCGATTTTTCTATTGATCACATTACTTAATGTGGTGAAGTAGATTATTTCCTTGATACTAACGCTAAGGTATATGAAGATGAGACTGTTTGGCTTATCTTTACGATTACGACTAGTTGAAAACTCTATTGAATCGACACGTACTCGAATTCATCTTCGGTTTTTACATCTAACTACCGACAGAGAAAAACATAACACCACACTTACTACTTACTACTAAATTATGAAATAAATTCCTTCTCTTTGTATGAGAGTGACAATAATTTTCTCTGAAAAAGAAACTGTAACAATGAGAGTAAACAATATTCCTTCCGATATTGAGAATGTAAGAACGATGATAGACAAGTTTTTTTTGCGTAAAAGACTGAAGGAAAAAGAAATACATTTTCTTTCAGGAAGGAGAGTATAGGAATGAGAGCAAGAAAAATACGTCTGCCTATGAGAATGCAGGAATAATAATAGGCAAGTTTTTTTTCTGGAAAGAGAATACAGAAATGAGTGAAAAAAAGATTCTTTCAACAAGGAGAATATAATTACGATGATGGATAAGTTTTTTCTGGGAAAAAAAGTGCAACAACACAAACAAAAACAATATTTTTCAGGAGGTAGAATGTAGGAATGACAGTAAGTTGTGATCGCAGAAAGTGCCTGCATGTTTTGCTCATTTCCTACAACCAAAAACACAAGGAATCATTGTAGAATCTTTGTCAAATCCTCAAGGATATAGAACGAAGATACCGATGAGGTATTATAGGAAATAAGACTCATTTTTTAAATTGATTAGATGTTTCGCGTCATACACATTTCGATATTACCATTAAAAGCTGGATAGAAAAGGGTTCAATTTGAAGCACAGTTTGCTTGATTCGTCGTGGTACGTTACGATAGCTAGGATGTTCATGTAGATTATTTCAACTTATAAGAAATTAAAGACTCGAAATTGGTTGGATCATTTTTCCGTGTCAGGTGAGCCACTTTTTGTTTCGCGTATATGTTCGCTCCTTCTTATGATCCTACCATATTCAGATAGATCTTAAAAAGGTACACATAACGCTCAGATAGACTTTGAAAAATTACATATACTACGCCCATGTAGACCTTGATAGATTATTTTGTTGATGGAAAGAGGGCAGAAAGTAGGTTGAATGATGGCAAAATAAGAACTGTAGTGTGATCAGCTAGTTTTTTCTATATGAAGTGAGCCACATTTCTTTGGTTGACATGTTTGACTCGCTTCCCCTGACCATAATACTCGCAATAACGATATAAAAAATTTTAAGAATGAAAAGAAAGTGTTGAATATATAGAAGATATACTGATAATGGTACTATTACAACTGATTCTGAGCTTTCCAATTCATCTTTCTGTTCTAAGTAGGTATCAATAAGATTAAGTCAATTCTAATAAACATTCATGAGTGTGAGTGCGGAGCAATGAAAATCCACCAACATCCCCACCTTCATTGAAACAATATCACAAAAATAGTTTAAATTTTTAGTCGAAATTAAAATAAAATCAATTTACAATTTTCTCTCTACTATCTTAGATATCACATCAGTTTTATCAGCGGGATTTTGTCATAAAAAGAAAGTTCTTCTTAGATTTCTTCGACTACTGAACAACATTTTTATTGTCATTAAACGATTAAGTTTATATTTATAAAATTAGATACGTAGATTATTCATTTTTTCTATAAATCTATATTCAAAGACATGGCAATGGCAAATAATAAAACTGTATGCTTCATATGTGATGAAGAAAAACTACATATCCTTGTAAAGGGTGTTCAAAAGAATTTTGTTTTATGGATTTAGCGAAATATAGACAAATATTAACTGAAGAATTACATCATATCACCGATGAATATAATGAACTTAAACAAAGCATTACTGAATAAAAACAAACTCCACGAAATCATTCGTGAATAAAACGAATTAATCAATGGAAAAGATAATCAATAGAAATAATTCAACAAAAAGCACAAGAATATAGAGAAATTCTCATTTTAATGATTCACAAACATTCTTTAATGTTATTGAAAAGAAATTTAATTATTTGAATAAACAAATAAAACAAATTAAAGAAAACGAATTTAACTTAAATTATTTAATAAATCAATTAAGAAAAATTCCAGAAGATTTAAATAAATCCCCAAATATTTTTATTAAGCAAGAGTCACGATCATTTCTTCATCAAATTTTAATTATTTTATCAAAAAGTAAGTTTTTAAAAAATAATTTCTAAAAAAATAAATCGCATTTTATATGATATTGTGCTGAAAAATTAAAATAAAAAGCCAACCTTGTCAAAACAATAGTACTTGTCTTAATGATAATACTACCATTCGGGGATTTAATTGCAATTGTTTATCTGGTTTTAATGGTACAGAATGTCAATATGATTACCGAATTTGTCAATTACGTACTTGTTCATATAATGGTATATTCCCACTATATAAAGAAGATAAAAAAGAATTTCTTGTTTATCATTTTAGGTATATGTTATCAATCATCAAATACAACATTTACTTGTAGTTGTAATGAAGGATGGCAAGGTGTACATTGTGAAATAAAAATGAATTATTGTAAAAATATAACATGTTATAATCAAGGAGTTTGCCAATCATTATCATCGAATTATACATGTCTTTGTATTGGTGAATACTATTCTGGTCGATATTGTGAAATAAAATCAGGAAAAATCGTTACTCTTGAAAGAGTTTCGAAATCTTTTGGCTATATAGCAATTATTTTTTTGATAGGTACTGCAATATTTATTATTACAATGGATCTATTAAAATATTATTTTGGTATTGATCCAGCACGCAAAAGACTTCGACCAAGAAAATGTGTCAAAAAACAGAAAACTATTCCTGTCGTACAAAAGTTTTATTATAAATCATCATTGAAAAAACGATCTGAAAACTCGATTGTGGTAATCGAAGAGACAAATATTTAAAACAACTTCAATAGCTTTATTCTTGTTCATTAATGCATACGTATTTATTTAAAAGAAAATGATTCGAGAAATCTCTTCATCTTTGTTTAACATTTCTTTTGACTAGTTTATCGGAAACTTAAAAAGCAATTGAAAAGCAGATCAATCTTTTCTTTTGTATCACTTATCAATCAGGGATATAGTTTTTATTTTATGAAAATTATTAAGGATATGGGTGGGTGTGGGTGTTGGTACTCGGTGACTACACAGTGGCGGATCTAGGATTTTGGAAGGGGGAGGCGATTTTGGTTAAAAGCTATTTTTTGAGTCCAACCGAAGTAGTGTGAACCTATTTTTTCGTTCATTTTAGCTGTAAAAAAATTAAAAAAAATTCGGAAGGGGGGGGGCGATTGCCCGCTCCCCCTCCCTCCTAAATCCGCCACTAAGAAAAGGCAACGTTCTCTTTCTAGTAGTCAACTATTATCTTTTGTTTGCATGTTAAAATCTCTGATGGGTAATTTTCAATTGAATATCTTTTTTATATTTATGATGAAAAAAGAAGCCCTGAGGGTTTGATAAAATATTTACTGTCGTTTTTTTTATGATTCAACAATCATAAGCTTTATCGTCATCTTACACCCGAGAGTTTTATCACATTATTCTGTTGATATCGATACTAATAAACCAAAGAAGAATATAAAAAAAAATACATGTATTACATTTCAACAAGTTGAAAGGCAAACGATCTCAAATCGATACCAGAGACTGGACGAGTACAAGTACATCAAGTACAAGTAAAAGTATTTTGTACTTCACTCAGTAAGTTTTTACTTAAATATGTTGTACTTAGTATCAGTAAAAAGTACATATGCTAAGTACTTTTATTCTTGAGCATAATTCGATGTTAACATAGTCTTAAATAACACTTAGATACAAAAGATAGCGTCAGCATAAAAATATCTATTTTTAAGAAACTGTTAAAGTACATTTTGTACTTATAGTACTGTACTTAAGTAAATAAGTACCAAGTACCAGTACACAGTAACAATTTGTAAGCACAAGTACATTTACATGTACTGAAAAGTTATTACTTGTACCTGAGGTCTATAAGTAAAAAACTTAGAAAGTACCAAGTTTTTTACTAAGTATCCTGTCTCTGTTTGCAGTAGAGAAATAATGCAAAGATAAGACATGAAGAAGAAAAGAAAAAAGGATAGGTCGAAATGACTTTGACTAAGCAGAAACAGATATATAAAGTATAGTATATACTCATTTTTATGATTATAATGTTTTTATACAGAACATGGCCTTGCAAGTCACCTACTAAGCATACAAAAGAGATTGCGAGTCGACAAGATAGGTATAGAAAAGGACAGTATAGCTATAAAAAGTGCTCGTACTTCACTTCTTTTTATATGTTTTTCTTTATTAGCACTATATGAATATATACTCACACTTTTCAATATTTCTAGATTTGATTCTTTAAGCAGTTGAGAATAATCATGAATATTTTAAAGCAGATATTCTTTATTTATTTGATAATTCATCTTGTAAAATCTGATCCAATAAATCGTAATATTAAAATTGATGGTAATTTTGATGATTGGAAAAATGTTCCATCTTATACTGATCCAGAAGATAATATCGATGGTACAGTTTATGATCAAAGTCCATGGTTTCCTTCCCTAAAATTTCCTGATTGTCATGATACAGATACTCGTCAACCAGATCCTATACCAAAACATATTTATAATCCAAATGTGAATATAGTTGAATTTAAAATAGCTCACGATGATACATCTTTATATGCCTATTATCGTGTAGTTGATGGTGGAGTTATTGGTAAGACTTCTATTGGACCAAATGAATTTAATAAAAATGATCCATCACAATCGTCAGCTGGAAGATATTATGTAATAGCTACAGTTGATATTGATAATGATAATACAACAGGTTACTGGTTACATGGAGGTGGTTATCATCCAACTGCACCAGGATTTGATGGAAATTTTGAAGTCGAATTTTTTAATGGTTCATTTAATCAAGATGTTTATCTCAATCATGCCGCTAATAACGATACGGAAGTAAATTATTTAAAACATGAAAATAAAAGGAATCAATTTATATTTGGTCCAGCAATTTATGAGTCTTACACGGAATACATTTATTGGAAACATAAACCAACTGAAAGTGAAAGTAAACGATGTTTAGATGGACCATATCAACTACCTGGTCCGTATAGTAATAATTACATATGTTTTACTCAAGACAAAGCACCTGGACCATTTACTGGTATAATTAGTTATTCTCGAAGTGAAAAAGGTAATGAATTTGAAATGCGAGCACCATTTGAAGGATTCTTATTGAACAAAGATACCGGTCGACCAACTCTTCAATTAGGAATGACAATAAACATATCATTATCATTAGAAACAAGTGGAGAAGATTCAACACCACGAGATTGGTCCTCGGATACAGCTGCGACAATTCAGTATACGTTATCTGACAGTACTGCACAAATATTCAATTATAACTTATTGCTTTTTTTTTACTTATTTTTTTTTCTTATTTAATAAAAATAATATGAGTATCAGTGTCTAAAATATTTGAATAGAATCATAGAAAAACCACATATATAATTTCAATATCTAATTTAGTCTCAGTACTACTACCGTATCATTCTTCATGCGTTTAGTTTTGCAGGAGAATGAGACTACAAATATAAGGAATATGATGAAGAAACGAAGAATAGAAACAAAAAGAATAAAACATGTTTTATCTTAACAAAAACTCGTCCTGAAGGAGTTGACTTGAAAAGCGTTAGAAATCTCCCTTATTTTAAGAATTTTTGAAGAATCTTTTAAAAATGTTTACTGGTATTTTCATAGTTAAATTTTATTAATTCTAGGATTTTTTTAAGTAAAAATCTGTTAAATTCTCATTAGTCAGTATTAAAATCTCGAAATCTTTCGGATAACTCTTTGAAAACTCTTAAAATCCGTTAATAATTTAGAAAAATGTTTGTACCTGAACTTTTCGAAAATGTTAGAACCTAACAGAGGTCTTCTCCAAAAACATTAAGCGCTCGATAGTTTAGAAGCTCTCGAAGGCTTTTAATATGGAAAGGTGTTTAGTTCATACCCACACCCACATCCACATCCACACCCACACCCACACCCACACCCTAATTGCCATGCCAACTATATGTTTGCAAATATATTCTTTGAAGAAACTTGGATAATTACAAATTCCATTTTTCCATTCTAGTACATTGTTTGGTAAACTTGTCTTCCATATTAAAAAATGAATATCTTTACATTGATCAAATGATGTCCATTTCTTCCTATTATATCTATGAATTTCATTTATTGTAACATTCTCTACGTTTCCAGATGGTATATAATAATCAGTAAAACCTTTTTTTTTGATGGTTGTTGCAAAACTGACTTTGACGATTTTGCGAAATGATATGCATCGGTCCATTTCTTAAGTGTAATCGTTGGTTCTGCTGAAAACACAACTGGATCTGATTGATTTGGATTACGAGATTTAAGCTAATTATGTACAATGTCATTTGCAATAGTAAAAAATCTTGAAAGTGGTTGTCGTTCTCTAAATGTGTGTTCATCTTTGATGACCCTGTTTGTAGCTTCAAGTGCATCTTGGGTGTGGGTGTGGAAAAATATAGACGTCATCATAGAAGTAAAGAAACTTTGATTTGACATTTTACAATTACTTTGTCTTTATAATACATTACTTAGTAATTAAATTTTTACTGACCAAATGTAGTTTTTTATTATGATTTTAATTTATTAACTTAGCGAAAAAATAATTTACTGAAATATTAATATTTTAACTTAGCAATTGTTTTTTTTTACTGAGAAGCTTTATATTTACTTAGCGTCTAATTATTCTACTTAGATTTAAATTATTTACTGAGCAAATATAAATTTTACTTAGCAAATAAATAGTACCGTTAAATAACTACCCCTACATTTTCCCTCTCCTCAATTATTTTTTTATTTATTTTTCCTTCTTATGTTCTGTTAATAATTTATTTTTCTTTTTGCCTTCAAAAATAAAAATGAAAAAAGTATTCTTGTTAACTTGATTATTTATAAAAAAGAAAAATATTTGCATGGAAGGAAAGGAGCAAAAAAAAGACGCAGTCAGACGTGTTGTGACTAACTTTTGTTGGGTTTTTTCCCAAGAAGAGGTGAATATAAAAGGCGAGACAAATCTAGCAAACACATTTCATCACAGTCTCAAAACTGAAACATTATTTCAAGTGAAATATCATACGAAGTTTAATATTTAAACAAAAATTATGCCGAAATTTATGTCTCACCGATTTTCTTACAACAGAAGACGACATGATAGCAACAGAATACGACTTTCTGGTGGTGCAGGTGCTCATGCTCCACATATAAATTTAACTTATGTTGATAATGATGTGCATATAGAATTAAAAAAGGTTATCCAATCCGGTGAAAAACGTACACTCATTCTGAAAGCTGAACAATTTTTTGAAATTTCACAAAAAAACGATGAAATCAAACTTGCTGGAAGAAATATTGCTAATTATCATGGAAGTGATAGCACAACACAACCAGCTAAGGAAGTTGGTTTATTTAAATTTATTTCACGGTCTGATTTTGAGAGTACTACATGTGAACATATGTATGAATGGGAAGTACCAAATTCAAAATTGAGAGTGAGTGTACGTAATCGTCGAAGTGATGGTAAACGACCAATTAATACAGACTTTGTTGTTGAAATACGAGTGTTCGGTACAAATGGTTTACCTACTGATGAAGGTATTATGATGGCATGGCATAATTTCGAGGGTGAGTTGAAAAATTAGTCGTTAAAGTCAGAGATGAGTCGATTCTTACAGAGTTAAAAAAGATTCGATCAGTCCATCTTTGGCACGAATCACACAAGAAAATATGTTTTTTCTATTTATCTCTTTTCCTCAGGTACATTTGTTAAACATCACAAAGAACGACAAGATCGAATTCAACAAATGCGTAGGAATGGAGTATTGAATCCTTTAGCAAGATTGAACGCCAACGCCACTTCAAGTTCAACTAGTGCTGCTACAACTACTGCTACTGTTTCTGTATCTTCAACAACTACAGGAAACTTACCTACCTGGACAATTCAAGAAGAATTTGTTAATAAGGAGACCTATTCATGTGTTATCTGTATCGATACTTATGTGAAAGGTGCAATAGTGAATGGTTTACCAAACTGCAGTCATTATTTTCATTCATCATGTATTCGAACATGGTTAGTTGGAAGCGACCAGTGCCCTGTGTGTCGATCAAAAGTTTAGATTTATTTTCTTCATTTCTTAAGAATGACATTACATCATAAAAAGTGTTTTCATATTCATTTCATCTAAATAAAAACAAGACCAACTATGTATAATGCATTGATTTTGTGTCAATTTTTTGTGAAACCTGTTCAATCTTGAGGGTGTGGGTCGGTGTGGGTGTACTAAGGTATATCTACTTTCACACCCACACCCTAGTCAATTCTAACGATGTTGATACCATATCTAACAGTGATTCGATAAACAAGTGAACAAATATTGATCATCTGATCAGTTAGAACATTAACTAATACCTTTAATAATATATTTTAAAAAAGAATTCTAACATACACACATCAGCTCTTCTATTCTATCGTTTAATTACAAGATTTGTTCTTCTATTAGAATATCTTCTTTATTTTAGCTTTCCTTATATATGATTGATTGTAAAACCAAAAAAGATAGTCACTTGTAAACGAGACACATTTTTTTGTGTGAATAATAAAGTTACGATATAAAATATATGAAGTTTTTTATTTGTTGTCTATCTCTATTAATTTCTAATATAATCACTTTGACGAATTCAGAAAAATCATTAAATAAATGTGGTTATGATGTAAGTGAATTTGAATAAATCTTATTAGACATGTAATTTTGATGATGCAACAAAACTCAATGTTCATCTTGTCCCACACTCACATGATGATGTTGGATTTGTTAAAACATTAGATGAATATTATTATGGATGTATGTAGAATTTTTTTGCTTTTTGAATTCCTTTTTTTTGAATAAAATCTTTTTAAGCTCGAACCGATCTTCAACATGTCAGAGTTCAATATATTCTTGATTCAATTGTTCTCGCATTAGATGAAAATCCTCATCGACGATTTATCTATATTGAAATGGCTTTCTTTTATCGTTGGTGGCTTCAACAAACAGATGAAATTCGTAATAAAGTTAAAGATTTTGTCAATTCAGGTCGTCTTGAATTTAGTTCTGGTGGTTGGTGTATGAATGACGAAGGAACAACACATTATAATTCAATTATTGATCAACATAGTTTAGGTCTTGAATTTCTAAATGATCAATTTGGTGAATGTGGTCGACCAAAAATTGGTTGGCAAATCGATCCATTTGGTCATTCACGTGAACAAGCTTCTCTTCTGGCACAGGTCGATCAATTTTTTTTATTTAAAAAAGTGTATATAAATTATCCTTAGATGGGTTTTGATGGTTTATTTTTTGGTCGTGCTGATTATCAAGATCTACAAAAGCGTAATTCAACAAAATCAATGGAAATGATTTGGAAAGCAAGTGCTAATTTAGATCGTCAAAGTTGGTTATTTACTGGTATTTTACCTCGAAGATATTCAACTCCAGCAACATTCTCGTTTGATTTTATTGCTCCAGATGACCCGATCATAGTTATAGAATAGATTTCACATGTTCTATATTAACTCTCTATTTAATTATTATAGGATGATGTAAATTTACCAGATTATAATGTACCAGAACGTGTTCAAACATTTATTCAAACAGCTCAGAATGAGTCAATGGAATATGCAACTAATCATATTATAATGACATTTGGTGGTGATTTTCAATATCAAAATGCATTGGCAAATTATAAAAATTTAGATAAATTAATCAAATATGTCAATGATCAGGTAGAAATATTTCAATTCTATTTCAACGAAATAAAAATTTATTAAATTTCACTAAAGCAAATGAATGGTAGTAATGTCAATGTTTTCTATTCTACTCCATCGTGTTATTTATATGCATTAAATAAAGTGAATCGTAGTTGGATAACAAAAACCGATGATTTTTTTCCACATGCACATCATCCACATAGATTTTGGACAGGATATTTTACATCACGACCAGCTTTAAAACGTTTTGAACGTTATTCAAATAATATTTTACAAGTCATACGACAACTAAATACATTCTCTAATAGTCAATTACGAAATCAAATCTTCAGTTTAAGTAAAACATCAATTTCTTCTAATTCATTTATTATTTTAATATTATACATAAAGGTGAAGCAATGGCGATTGCTCAACATCATGATGCTGTTAGTGGAACAGAAAAACAACATGTAGCAAATGATTATGCACAACGATTATCCATTGGAATTGATGCAGCACTTGTCTGTATATTTTAATTATAAATTCATTCTTATTTGACATTATTTTAGAATGTAATTAATACAGCTTATCCAAAACTATTAAAAAAAGATAATCAATCATCAACAGTAGAAATTCAACAATTTCTTTGTCAAATAACAAACATAAGTGAATGTTTAACAATTGAAAACGCCAAACAAGTAAAACAAGAAAGAAATATTTATTCGATAGTCATTTAGTTTTGATTGAATAGTTCACAGTAATACTTTGGAATCCAATAAGTCATCCAGTTGTTGGTTATTTACGTGTCCCTGTTACGAGATCTTATACAGTTCGTGATTCTAGCGGACCAATTCGCTCTGAGTTAATTCCAATTTCAAATTCAACGAAAACAATACCTGGTCGAATGAGTAATGCAACAAATCAATTGATTTTTAAATATAATTTACCAGCATTGGGTTTTAATACATATTTCTTTGAAGGTAATTAGATTTTAATTATATTTCTTTTCAATTTGAGATTTTGTTTTGTAGTGAATGAAGAAGAAGAAGAAGAAAAATTAGAAATAACTAAAAATGAAATATGTATTTTACAAAATCAAGTAAGAGAAAATAATAATAAATGAAATATTTTATTTGATTTCTTTACAGAATCTTCGAATTGAAATTGATGAACAAGGAAATCTAAAACGTATTATAAATCTTCAAAAGAATATTAATATTACATTTCTCAATCAAGTTGAGTTGTATATCATTGTCTATCTTATAGGGTTATTCTGGTAATAATTCTCAATTTGATTTTCAAGCATCTGGTGCTTATATCTTTCGACCAGTAACAGAAGATGCAAAACCAATATCTACAAAACGTTCATTGTATTTTTATTTCAATTAGTATTGTTGTTTAGAAAATGTATTAAAAGTGAACTTGTTCCAAACAGCAATTATTATTTTTAATGAATGGATTAGTCAAGAAATTAATCTTTATGATGAAGGAGAAGATATTGAAATTGAATGGACAGTAGGTCCTATTGCAATTGATGATAATATTGGAAAAGAAATTATTCTTCGATATGATACAGATATTAAAAGTCAATCAAAATATTATACAGATGCAAATGGTCGAGAAGTTCTTCAACGAATAAGAAATTATCGACCAACATATAATTATACAATTACGGAACCAGTTAGTGGAAATTATTATCCAGTTAATTCCCGTATATGGATTAATGAAACAAATCGACAATTTACCATTCTTACTGGTAGAATAAAATATAGAATATTGATCATATAGAATATTAAATTTAATTTTTTGTTTATAGATCGTTCAGAAGGTGGTGCAAGTCTTTTTGATGGTTCAATTGAATTAATGATACATCGACGTTTACTTTATGATGATAATTTGGGTGTTGGTGAAGCATTGAATGAATCTGCATTTGGTCAAGGTCTTGTTGTTCGTGGAAAACATTTTCTTAATATTGATTCACCTCAAACAAGTGCTCTTTATCATCGTATTCATTCACAAGAATTATTCATGTCTCCACTTGTAATATTTGCATTAATTAATTCATCTTATATGAATTATTCAAATTTATATCGTCAAACATGGTCTGCATTAAGCGATATATTACCTTCAAATATTCATTTATTAACATTAGATCAATTGAATGAAAAACAATATCTTATTCGTCTTGAACATTATTTTGAATTAAATGAAGATGAAAAATATTCATATCCAACTAAAATTAATTTACAATCAATATTTAAATCAATTGGAACAATTGATAAAATATTAGAATTAACATTAGATGCTAATTTAGAATTAACATTAGATGCTAATTTAGAATTATCTCAAATGAATAGACTTCATTGGTTAACTGATAATGATGAACTATTACTACAAACGAATAATTCTACGAGTAAGTTATTCAAATGAAAAACCGAACTATTTTTGAAATATAATATCTTTTTTTCTTTTATAGAACAACATTCATTGGTTGATACAAACATTATTTTAAATCCAATGCAAATTCGAACATTCCGCATAACAATCGTATAACATAGCATTTCGTTTTTTCATGTTGATTGCTTATATTTTAATTATCATTCGAAATTAGAATAAATAGTCAGGCACTACTCGCATGCAGAGAAAGTTTATATTTAAGGGTGTGGGTGGGGTGTACGGGTATGAGTAGGTTTTTTCTTAACCTCACTCGCACCCGGTCTTGTCGTAAATTAAAATTTGATGTTTGAATATAATTAAGATAATTAATGAAAACTTATACATTTTATTGAGAATATATTGATAAAGTGTATCGGGTGAGGAAGTGGGTGTAAGTGTGTGTGGGTGTAGATACCATAGATATCATGCACCTACCCACACCCACACTCACATCTACACGTACCTCACCCTCATCCACACTCACATCTACACGTACCTCACCCTCATCCACACCCACACTCACCCACACCCACACCCACACCCACACCCTCAATCGATTTGGCGAAGCTCATTTTCGGTGAATTTTGGTCGGTGAAGGTAAATAGGTGATTTCATCGCCTTGACTCATGACACATCAATAAACAAATATGAATTGGAAATTTCGAGCTGTATAATTTTCTTTTTAGTTAACGCTTTTTGTTAAAACTAAGTGCCAGAGGTAATGTTTTGTTTTGTCAAAAAGGAAGTAGCATGGTTTGTTTACTCTCATTTTCTTTTCTCTTTTCATTCATCATATATATAACTCAGTAAAGTTGAGATTTTTAAATCATTTTTTTCTCTTCGCAAACAATCTTGGAATTTTAGTTGATGACTGTATATACTAAAAGAAAATGCGTTTCAAGATTTTTGAAAAAAAAGAAAAGAATTATTTCAGTTGGTAACTATAAATTTGATCAGTTCTCGTTCGTTTATTTCACAACGCTTATATAACAAACGTAACCAAGGGCGGCGGAAGTCAGAGGCTCGGTGAGACTTGAGTCTCACTAGAATTTGACCTCTGTTGGCTCAGTCTCACTTAAATTATGAATCTGATATTTTTTTGCGCATTGATTTATACTTTTTTTATTATATGAATATTATTTCAACGCTATACTTCGAACTTCTAACACATTTATTTATATGTTGTGACGAAGGAAACTAATATAATAATATTCGAACTAACTATATTTTTGTGGTTTATAATGATATCTTTTATCTTATTTACATGAAGTAATGTGTACTAAACCAGTTGCAGAACTATGCGATGAAAAGGCATCAGAACTTTCGCTTTATTCGAGTGCTTACTCTCTTTCACAAATTTAGTGAAATTCATCCGTTTTAGTTTTTTGAAATATCAGGAAATGTGGCAACTAAAATACAGTGTCAAACGAATTGATTCGAGTATTTATCCGAATTTTTAGCTTACAGATTTTTTTCAATGACTTGGTATTACGAGTTAAGCGCAGTGTATTTCGAAGATTATTATATTCGTCTTGCAAAATAAAACTGGATTTCATGTTTACATAAATTTTAAGCAGATAAGTAGTACGCTCTTTCAATCATTTATTTGAAATTAAAACTTTAGATTATAAGCAAAAAAAGTCTAACAGTGGGTTTCCATCTATAATTCATTTGTATTGTCTCCTGCTAATATGTAAAAAGCTACTTTTGAGTCGCACTGGAATTCAACACGTTTCACCGCCCCTGAAAACAAGACAATGATAGATCGCATTACTTTTGGTGTGATCAATGGAAAAAATAAAATACGCGCAGTAATGGGTTATTTTTCTTTGTTCTTTTTTTTCTACCACTTCCTACATTTTTCTTTTAGTTAAAAGAGCATAAACTTGTTTCTCTCAGCACTTGGTTGTGTCCTTGGAATGAAAAAAGCAACCCTTTTATTTTAAATTGTTTATTCATTTAAATGTGTTGAAATATTTATTTTGTAAGCGTTTTCTGTGGAAAAAAAACTATGTGTATAATTTTCATTCTCATTAAATACTCTTTTCTTTTGTTCTTTCATAGCATCTAAAATTATAATATTTCTTCAATCGAAGTTGAAAACATCATCAGTCATGTGTTCTTGTTTTGATTAACGGAAGTGAAAGAAAGCATCACTGAAACAGATTCATGTTTACCGGATCATTTTTTTGATCATTTTTCTATAAGAAATTTATTCATTATATACATTTCTTAGCAAGTAAATAAAAGATTTAGTTATTATTTTCATATTACTTTCATTATCTTCTGAAAAACATTATTCTTGGACAGAGTAAAAATTATTTTAGATAAAATCATCAAATATAAAACTAATTTAGTTAATGTTATTAATAGTAGTTTATGGAAAAGGAGTTTATTTCTTATTTTTTTAGATTTATTGTTATGGAAAAATAAGGAATAGTTCTTTATCTTTAAATTTAGAAACAGCAAAATTCTTACTTAAAGAAATAATTGTTCAAACGGTTTAGTTATAATTCATGAGATGAGAGTTTATTTCATAACTAAAAGAACGAGAAATGATCTTCTGATGATGAACATTTATTTGTTATGAGTTTATTTTTATGATTGTGTAAAGTATTATAAAAATTGTAAATATTGAGAAATGAACATGATGTGATAATATGTGTAACTAAAATCTAAAAAAGACAATATAAAAAACAAAGAAAGATATATAAATGATTTATTGCGAAAGAGAAATGATTATTTGTTATAAACGCTGTTTAAAATGTTTTTATCATTTTATTGATTTATAGAGAACGAATGTTAACTTATGAACATTGGAAAAGAATACAATCAAAGATGATTATGTATTGTATGAGTGCTTTTAAAAGATATAGATTTAAGTTGAAAAGTGATTAAGGACAATCTCTGAATCAATTGCAGTCGACGGTACAGCGAGTCGTTACTTGTATATATATACATGAAAAGAAACAAAGAATCGTGACAAGAAATGCACTTTTTATCAAGCACTAGTAAGTATTCAAATAATGAAAAATATATTTATAATACAGTTCTGTTTGATCTGATTACATTATAGAATCTATTGTTGATTGAAATTGAAGATATGTGCATTGAAATAACTTTTTCAATAAATAAAATATAACTCATGTAGAAGAGACTTCTACTATTGCGGCTTCACGTGTGTTCTGCAAGAGCATACAGTGAGACGGTACTCCGAATGTGCATATAATAACATTTCTATGAATTATTACGCATGTTGAATATTTTTTTCATTTAATAAATAAAGTAAAGTCATAAAATATTGAATAGACATGATTCAAGGCAATAAAATAATCGTAAGCTCGGTTCAATCTGCAGCTACACATGCTGTTCCACGGCACGTAAAACGTGTTAGCGAACCATCGAAGTCCCTTCATCAGAATTTTAAAAATAATACAAGACCAGCAAGAACAAAATCTAACAACATCATTACTATAAAAATTCGACCATCCACCAGCAGTGTTTCGAACAATATCACCGAGAAACCACTATCGGTCTGATATGATAGCATCCTAGATATTTTATATATTTGTTTTATTTTTATCTAAACAGGTCTCATCCATTTCAACTACTCGTTACCATCGCCCACAAGCAAATCAATCTTTTACTTTTCAAAATTCGTCACTATGCTCACAGAATAGGGTGGAAGTCGCCAATACTCCTGTACTTATTCAATACGATCAACCACTGTTAAAAGTGAGCATGAACTTGAGAAAGTCGCTTTGAATTACCCATGAAAATATATATATACGCGTTCTTTACAGGTAAAGAAAAGCTTAAATGGTATTAAGTGGTTGTCTAATAATGAATTACCAATTCGTCGATCACAAATAGATCCTATTGGTATTATAAATGATACGACAAAAAGAAATAAGTAAGAAGGCAAAGAGTAGAAGCTATTTAACATATATTAATCCTTCATTGTCGCCTTTTCATATTTAGTCGAAACAAACGCAGAAGGCGTATGGCTGGTTTTCCTGTTTGGTGTATATGCTCTTGTTGTATAGGCCTCGCTTTCCTAGCAGCCATCATTGCTGCGATTCTTGTGCTTACTTTACGTAAGTACTTTTCCTATTACATCATTTCAAAAGAAATAACTCAATAAGTTATTTTAAAACTTTTACAACTATTTTCTAATGCTTTGATGAAGGAAATATAATCTTTAGTCCACGTTGAAAAACAAAAGTGCCGTACCGAACCTTCTTTTGTAACAAATGCGCAGCTTTTCTGAAGTATCGAAACGTAGACAGAATTCTTTTCATAGTTCGTACTGTGAGCAAAACATTTCAAATGATTTCAAGTAGAAGCTTCACATGTTCCAAATACAACGTCTCGAGCTCGATATATCTTATAGTGAAAGTTTTCTAAGTTGCTTACGAAACCATTTTCAGTTTTCTTATCAATATAAAAGTTTCGTATTGTTCTTACAGAACCATCCGTCACTCCATTTGCTACCTAATTCTTCAATATACATGATATGAAACCGTGGAGAGTGCGCAAGAATTGAGAAAAATCGTTACTTATCAGATTAATATAATTGAATGAGCGTGCTAATGAATCTTTCAACGTATAAGGATGATATAAGAAGAAAAAAATAATCATCATGGTTTTAAGAACAGATTAGTTCACGCTTTTTCATGATTACTTTTCAGTCAACCAGAAGTTTCCCGATACAGAAGTATGAGAATCCCTTTTCTATATTATAGATACGACGATTAATATAGTAACGAAAATGAATTAGAAAGCTTATTCTCCCAACCCATATTCGAAGAGTAACTGATTCTTTTTGTCTAATAGCTCGAATTTATTGGCGTTAGTTTTTCATTAAATCTGAAATATTGTTATTCATCAGTAGGAATAATTTTCTTTTATACTAAAGATTCAACAGGCACTACAACAGCAACGGCAACAACTAATACTGCAACAACGACAACCAAAACGAGTATGTCCATGTTTTTTGTGTGGCCCTATGAAGCAAGTTTTTTCAAGAGCTTATATATGTTCTGCAGATTGCTTTTCAAAATTTGCTGAAAAATAATTTTCAGATAACTACTGATATATGCCAGGTCTCTAATATCAACAACTCAATAATGAGAATTTCTTCGAAAGTTTTTATAATTTTCATATCTTTGTCGTAATTTAACAGTTTAGTTCAGTGCAATGTTAAGGTGAGCAAATTAGATACAACTATTCGAAACTGTTTATTCTTACACTGTTTTGCATATTAGTACATGTAATAGAGCCACCCTTAAATTTTCTTAGATGTTCCGAATGGTTCTTGCTAAGGCAAAATAAAATTATTCCATATCGACTATTTTCGATTTTCTATTTAGCATCAACGACGACTACTACTGCTGTTTATTGTGCTAGTACTTGTACTGGCACGTTTAATTCTTCTATAAATACTACTTCTTGTTCTCTTTATTGTAATGATGGTGGTAGTTATTATTGTCATACTACTTCTACTTATTGTGCTGGTAAGTATTATGATCCTGCTGGTTTTGGTTTTTGTGATCCTGCTAGTAGTCGTTTTACTGGTACTTGTAATACTACTGGTTATTGTTGTGTTTATGATAATTATTTTCCTGATTATTATTGTCTTAGTAAGGTCAGTTGTGGCTTTAGTGGCTAAGATTTATAGTACGTTAAGAGAGATTCATTTGTATAATGGTGTCGCATCTTTACAAACAAGAAAGATTGTCATGAACCTCACCTATAAATTTGTAGCTGGTTCACTTTTATCAGTTTTACTACCTTTCTTTTTTTCTGCAAATAAATATGCTACAAACACTTTTCTGCATCCTATATATCTAGCAACTTGCTCGTTCATTACATACAGAATAAATACAAAAAGGTAACAATGAGAATACTAATTCTATGAAAATGATACACTTGCGGGTGTGGATGTGACTTGATAATAATACTCCCACTTACACCCACACCCACCCTGTTATGAACACATTAAATATAGAAATCATGTTTGATGATAATTAGAAATGAAGTGTTTCTCAAACCATTGATATACAGTCTATA